GTTATCAATAGGCAAGAGTTTCTAAATTACTTTTAGAAATTAAAAACTTGGTTTTCTACTCTTAATTGACATTTAATTAATATTTTAATTCCTTGTCATTTTACTTGCTAAATTTCTCAAAATTCCTACTAGTTTAAATTTATTTTGCAGTAATTCACAACATTTGGTTTTACTTTTGGTTTTGAAGTTTACTTTTACCCTTGCCTATATGGATGACAAAACACGAATTGAGCAATTGAAGGGTTAGGTTTGGAGGCAACTTCCCCTTGATAAGTCTGTCTCCTGCCTGCTCAACAATTATTCACTTATGCAATTTAATTTGGTCTTAAAAATTCCTTACAAAATATTTGAGATTTATTCTTTGGAATATTATACATCTTTTTCATGGTTTTAGATACGTGCACTTAATTTACATATGCTCTTAGAATTTAATAATGTAAATTAGTACGCAGCAATAATTAATTTTTTATTTTTTAATTTTGCAATTAAATTTCTTAATTTGATTTTAAATTTATACTAACTTTATACGAACAGATAATATTTGTTAAATACATATAAAAAGAAGTATTTTAGGATTTTTTAAGCAAACAAAAATTAAAGAAAATTGTAATGAGACAGATGTACTCGCTTTCTGCTGCATAACTAATTAAATGTTGGTGCGATATTTGACACTGCTCGACAGAAAGCATCTTCGTGATGTTTCAACATTGAACGATATTTGGTTTTAATTAGCGTTAAAACTGAAAACGTAGTTCTATAAAAATATGTGGTGCTGAATGAGAGAAGAACATTTTATGCAATTTCAGAAACAATGAGAAATCTAGTTCTAATTCCAAACCAGAATTCATGAAGGACTTTTGTGAGATCTCAAGTTTGAGTTTTAGGCTTGAGTCGCTAGATAGTTTTTCAAATTCTTTTTGCACTTTACGTAACAGGTAATTAATCTCATTGATATCATTTAATGTATAAGGTACTTCTCTCGCCTTCTTAGCATGCCTTCGTGGTGTAGTGGTCAGCACGCTCGACGATAAGAGAGGATAGCAAAGTTAAAAAAAAATAAATAAATAAACGTTAATAAAACTTAAAATCCTTACACTGTACATTATTATACTATAAAATGCAAGAAGTATTCTCATAAAGTATTAGCTTTATATTTCTAAAAACATTTGATAAAACAAAACTGGAATGTTAGGACGACTAACGTAGAAGTGGGATAATATGGTGGATTTTGCTTACGAAGTAGTTTGTGTTTATGTGAACTGTATTTATATATGACTACTAAAATTTAATTTTTGTTTCGTAAAATCAAATAAGACTATCACTGTATAAAATATTTCTCTCGTCTTCTTAGCATGCCTTCGTAGTGTGGTGGTCAGCACGCTCGACGCGTATTCGGAAGGTCCGTGAATCGAGTCCCGGCTAAGAGCATTGCTCATTTTTCCTCTCTCTTGCTTTCGAAATAACTTAATGTCTCTACAGTGGCGCCCGAACTAAAAGGTGGTGAATGATGATGCTTCACCACCAGGCTTTGGCGATTGGGTCCCCTAAAACCCTAGTCGAGCTTTAAAAGGGGGAGTATATAACGTATTTCTCGCGCCTTCTTAGCATATTTTCGTGGTGTAGTGGTCAGCACGCTCGAGGCGTATTCGAGAGGTCCGTGGTTCGAGTCCCGGTGAGGGCACTGCTCATTTTTCACATCTCCTGCTACCAAAAAAAAAACACCTAATGTCTCTAAAATGCAATGTCTTTATAAGTCTAATCTCATCAGTGTCATTTAATGCAATTTCTTTAAAAGTCTTATGAATGCAATTTCTTTAAATTCAACTACCGAAGTGAACTTACGTGACCCTAAAATTTCGATTTGCGACTCCATTTGGGGTCGCGACATATAGTTTTATGAAACACTGCTCTAGATGAAGATCGGATGGAAAATATAACTGCCAGAGGAAACTTTAAAGGAAGGGTACTAGAGGTCCGCATAATGTTCTAAATTTCATGCTATTGGTGGTGACCACACTTCAAGAGGATAAGAGCCGTATTATAGATTTCATGAACGTTCGGAGCCCGGATGTCCAAAAGTATATCGTTTCAAAAATAATTAGACAGGTTTTGAATATAAAGAAACTTATTAATTAATAAAATTAATGAGAATTTTCTCATTTTATATGTTAACATGATTATATATTTCATTTTATATGTTAACATGTACTGGTGGGAGGAAATGCTGGCGACTAAGCATAAGAAATCCTACACAAGACTGTCTTACTGTTTACAATTGCAGTATTACGGAAATTGTGTGCTTATAGCATGTGCTTCTGCTTTATTTTTATTTTGGTTTATTTTGTTCATAAACATTACATTTAATATCAGTTCTTTGACTTTAATTCAGTAATTTAAACTAGATTTATTCCTTAATTTGTTAAAGTATACACGAATAGATTGTGTGGTAAATACTCAATTGCTTTTATTTCTCAGAAGTATAATCAATAAGCATTCAGCTAACACAAGTATATCTTGTAATGTTTCCTATTTCGTAATCATTCTTAAACGAAAATTTGCCTAGTTTACAATAGATAGTTACACTCTAATTAATGAAGCAACTTACAACCTAACACGTTTTAAAACCCCTAACTGTTTACGCCCCGATAAACACAAAATAAACCGTATATCGTATTTATCTTCTTTTAAAATTGCACGAAATTCTGTTCTGGGCATGCGCTGTAAGCAAAATTCGTTTAACGCTGATCAACTCAATGTGCGGTTTGCACATTTTTCACGTCTCCCGCTTCAAAAAATCCTAATGACACTACAAATGTATGCATGAATACCCTTTTAGCGGTTAATTATTCTTTTCTCAGTAGTTGTCTCTTATTCGGTTATTTTGGAAGAACCAAATTCTTAAAATTAAGCCAACGCCAAATTTAAGAATCTATCTGAAGTGAGACAAAAAATTTAAAAATACTGCGTCATGATGTATACTTTACGTACTATCAAAATTTAATTTATTTACGATCGGTGATTTGAAGCCACTCCTTTTTCGATATGTGTAGTATTTCTACACATTTTATAATAACAATTTAGAGTGATAATAATAACAGAATTCATAAAAAAAAAAAAAAAAAAACGATATTTTTGAAAAAACTATTTTTATATATTTTAAACTTTATGTACTTTTTCAATATGCTTGTAGACGTTTTGGATGTTTTCGTAGAAACCAGTTCCAGCAATTTTGGTTCACTCTTCTGTTGTTTTTCTGAATTCGTGAAATACTATCACAGTTGTGTCTTTCAATGTATGATTTCACTTTTAGAAATAGTAAACAAACTGCGGGATGACAAGTCTAAGAGCAAGATTATTAATAAAAGATCTGATGCCGACATCACAACTTCCTTTACGGAATATTAAATTACGCGCATTTTTTGCTGCTTTTCATTTAAACTTATTTCCTCGAATTTCATTAGAGGTAGATTTTTTATTCAATTAATTCAGTTCTCCGTTCGCGGCAAGGCAAAAATACATAAAACCGCAAAATATTTTCATTAGAAATTTAAAAATATAGAAAAACATAAAGCATCAAATACAGTTAAAACAATTCAAAAACCAATCTTTACAGTTAAAATTAGAGTTTCTACGCAAAAACAAGCACGTCGGCCAGCAGGCAAAAGGCAGATTTTTCGATGCATAAAACTGAAAGCTTACTTTTGGTCCCTCTCGACAAAAAGACACTGAAGGCGTGCAGAAACTGGCTTAATTCACTATTCTGCTAAGCTTGAAATGTAAACAAATATTGCTGCTTGGGGGGGGGAATTAAGAGCTTAGCCGAACTTAAACAACTTTTAAATTGTTGATATTTCTACAACTACTGCATGCATATTAACTAAAGGCATAAACATTTTAACCGGAATATAAGAACAACATATTCAATCATTTTTAAAGCGCAAATTGCACAATTTACCAACCTATAAGATCAAAGAAAACTGAGCTCACGAAGCCGAGTAGCAGAAAGGTATATATATATGTATATATATATATACTCTTGATGCGGCAAATTGCAACCAAAAAGGCAGGTGCACAACTAGATGCTATAGAAGTCCTATATACAAAATTTTAACGTTCTGAGAATATTCGTTTTTGAGTTATGCAAGAGACCTACGTACGGATGTCACGAAAAAATCTCTTCTGAAATTAATGTTTTGTACAAAAGGTAAAAAATATCCGTTACTTTCTCTTAGGATAATTTTTTCTGAGAATTGAGATCTGTAGCTTCTTTCTATCTGAAAGCGTTTACTGTCTTCCAAAACAAGCAAAACTATTGGTGAATTACCACCACCATGGAATAAAAAAAAATCCACTTATAGATCTTCCGATCAAAACTACTAAAAGTACAAAATTGCTGGTCTAAGAAAATTTCTTCTTGAACATGCAGGTGGCTGTCGTTTTATTTCTAAATTACAAATAAAACGTCAAACTTTGTCACTATAAAAGATCCATTTGAAACGTTCCGGCTTACTTTCAAATATTTCAGACATAATCTTTAGATATTTCAATTTACGGAAACAATATTTAAAAGCAACTCTCGCGTTACTAAGAAAATCTATGGTGTCCGATCGAAAAATTTGAAAACTTGGTAGCTGTATTGTTTAAACAAAACTCTTGATGTTATAGTAATAATTACAATATACTAAAAAAGATTTTTTTTTAAAAAACCTAAATAAGACTTAAAAAATTTCAGAAAATAATTACGAAGAAAATTTCACCGTTTAATCTAAAATACTGCACGTCTTCAAGCTTATCTTACATGATAAAATAATTATTTAAAAAAAATAATATTTAATATAATTATAATAATTATATTTGGAAGATTATAAAAACAAACTCATAAAATAATTTAAAGGTAAGTGCAAATAAAAAATAAATTTAAAGTAATATTTGAAATAAAAATGTAACACAACAGGTTTTCACTTTATACACATAGGTTATAAAAGTGGTAGAGAACTCACAGCCAATAGAGGGCAAAGATTACCGCCGATAGCACAGCGAAGCTGATCACCACAATGACAATGATGACCGTCTCTATGGCCACGGGCATCCCAGAAGTCAGGTACCATCCTACGATTCAAACTTAAGATTCCTGGAAACAGATGAAGCGAAATTATTAGTATTTAAATTGCTTTATATATATATATATATATAGAGAGAGAGAGAGAGAGAGAGAGATCATTTCAGTTCAGTAAATATTAGGAAACCTAATGTGCAACGTGTTTAAAAGCCAGTTTATCTTAGATCTTAGAAAGACCTAGACGATGGCATCTTTCCCTTTCGTGTAGTACCAAGGAACAAATACAAATTACTCCTATGTTCAAAACGTTCACGGAAAACACTTGCATGATGGAACGCAATTCTACTTGAAAGAAAAGAAGTTACTACCTAGTCATATTCAAATCCAACTAAAACAACTTGCTTACAAGTCTTGGCAAAATTTGGGGAACAATGCTCCACAGAGAAGACGCACATATAACGGGATCCCCAATGTAAGCTTCGCATCTGTGTACTTGAATCCTACATTAAATTCTAATACAACAGGACACGGTCCTTCCCCAGACATTTTTACGCAAGAAATATGGCGAAATCCGATATCTGCATATGTGGGGAACAGGGAACTCCTAATCATTACACTTTCTCAGGCCCCTTAACTGAGGATATTCACATAAAATCTCCACAAACTGATCCCCTGGCATTCCACTGGTTTCTAATTAAAGATAAACATCTGTATCCAAAGTTTCGAAAAATTATGAAAAGACTCTCTTCCTACGGCCTAGATCTGTGTCAAGTGCAGGTCCTCATACTGCATAAATTTAGTGAATTTTTACATGCACTAAAGTCCTCATATTGCATAAATCAAGTGCAAGTCCTCATACTGCATAAATTTAGCGAATATGGAAAAAGTGACTCCACTTGTGAACTTTATAAACTGCAACATATCTGAAGCGGGGCGTACGATGGGATTGCACGATATACCATAATAGGCAAATTCTAAACCATTTGGAAAGCTTCAGTTGCCCAACTCCTCAATCCTACTTTGTAACTTATAAAACTTGCAATTATTATTTTTTTCCTCTCTCTTTTCTTTTTTCCCTTCCCCCTTTCTTTTTTAAAAAATTAGTTAGTGTGAGAAGGCATTATCAGTTGACCCATGGTACATCGCTGGTGTTCCCCATACTTTTACCCTGTACCTGTACCTCGTCATATTTGATGAAATATGCAATAGAACATGTATACTTGCTCTAGCGTTCCTCACATTCTTGGAAGCGTTTTCTTTTTGATATCTGTAAGAGACTAGCCGTCACATCGTTTAGGATAGCTTGAAAACGTTGATCGAGTGAAATTAACTTGATAAGAGAGGACAGCAAAGGGCAAGAAATCTATCGAATAGGGTATTTGTAGCATGAGAGTGATTTGATTTTAACCAAAGAAAACCAAACTTCTTTGCTACAGCGTTCTTCGCTGCAAATGACGCAGAATCCCGAATGGCCGAAAGATGCCTTAAGTCTGTTGTGAGCATTATAGGACGCTTGCGAAATCGGGAAAAATTATTGCCAGTTTCAAGTACGATACATGACTTTCCCGCGAATCAAAACAATACTCATATTCAGTTATACTTCTTGAAGGAATAGGAACACTATGCCAGTTTCCCTTCATACACAATTTCCCGATAAAAGGAGCTTTAATCTAAGACTGTGCTTAATTTTAGATTTGATAGATGTAGACTTTTCTGTTCTATAAATAAGCGTGATTTATTTCAAATTTTTCTCTTTTTTTTTTTTCCTATGGTGGGCGCTTGTCTATAACGGCATTGCCCACTATTAAAGCCAGAAGTCGTGGCCATTATATTGCGGAGGCACCTAATAGGCGGCCACCGTTACGTACTATGAAGGGACAGTCAATTTTATATACAGGCCTTCTCCGGGGTTCAAACCCCGTCCCTTCGGTATCGCAGTCAGACTTCCCTAACCACTATACCGTCTGGGCGGCGATTTATTTCAAATTAATGGATAGAATTTTTATACAGTGAATTTTAACTATCAAATCATCATAATCAAGTCAAAAGGCATCTAGTTCCTGCATAAAATGTTCCTACGGAAAATATCAAATTTACGTATAAATTAAATTGTTTTTAATGGGTATCTAGCATTCGAATTATGCAGATCTTTTAATTAATGACTATTAATCTTAAAACAGCAAAATTATTCATTATTTTGCGGTTTTAAACGTAGTATTCATGCAAATTTAACACTCTGTTTTTCAAAATAAAGCCCAGGATAGATAACGCCAATTCTTAGCTTGCGTGCATATATTAACATATGCGTTGTATACATTTGCAATAATACATAAGTATGCGTCAATACCTAAGTTAGATCAAGGAACTGGCTCACTATACCGCTAGCTTCATTTTGCTTGCGATGCAGTAAACCATCAGTTAAATGAAGATCTCGCGGCAAATTGAAAAGAAAAACGCATATCCTGTAACGACTACCAAAGAGAAAAAAAATCGTCTTCCCCTGGACGGACATTTTTTTCTTTTGCAGCTTCATAGACAATTTTTTTTTTTTTCGGAATATCCATGTGCGGGCGAGACACGTTGGGAGTATCAAACAGGTTACAATTTACAGTGTGGGAAAAATACAGGTATTATCACTTCTGCCTCCTCATGATGTTCTCTTTCTCAAGGTTATATAGCCAGTCTATTCACTCACAATTTCAATGACATACCGGTATACAATTTATGTGTCTGACACTCTGTTTCGAAACTAGTTCTATGCCATAAACGTTCACCACGCTTTGGTAAATGAAGTTTAGGGTTGAAAGGAACGTCATACGCTTAGACAACTCTCCGTGAAACTAGTTTTAAATAAAGAGACTTCTTAGAACAAAGGAGATAATTATCGCATTATTAAAGTTATTGCTGCTTTGAACTGCCTCCAAAAAGTTATCATATGTAACAATGTTCATTATCTAAATGCAGTACATGGAATCACGTCTTTATTTTGGAATGCATTAAATTTGATAAATCTAATCAAGATAAATGAAATGAAAATGGATTGAAATTCCAAATACGTACAAATATTTATCCTTACTATTATAAATCGCTATTAGTAGTACTTACTACAAGTAGTATTACTGATATATTTTAAATCTGGGTTTGATTTATTTTTTGCATACATAAAAGTAAATTTACTATCTATTTGTAGAATTATTAGGTTATTTTGAAGCAGGAGACATGAAAAATGAACAATGCCCTCGCCGGGATTCGAACCTGGACTTCTCGAATACGCGCCGAGTGTGCTAACCATTACACAAAGGAGGCCTGCTGGAAGGAGGGAGAAAATTCCCCTTTGAAAGGGATTAGGGGATCCAATCGCCAAATTCTGGTGGGTGAACAATCATCAACCACCTCTTTTTTATTTTATTTCTGGCGCAATTACAGTCATTAGGTTATTCTGAAGTAGGAAACACGAAAAATGAGCAATGCCCTTGCCGGGACTCGAGCCTGGACCTCTCGAATATGCGCCGAGTGTGCTAACCATTACACCACGACGACATGCTGGAAGGAGACAGAAAGTGCCTTATAACTTATGTGGTTTAATGCCTGCTAGGCAATTAAACTGGCCTTATAACTTAAATTGCCTGTATCACTAAATAGCATACATTGTAGCATAGCAATATTCTATAGGTATTATACAAACGACAGCAATAATGTAATGTTGAATGACAGTAATATAAATTTCGATAGCATTGAAGAGGTGTAGCTAAATGGTGAAAACTGAAGAATGTGAAGTTCAGCTACGTATATAAAGAGTTTGGAGAATGCCGTACGTCAGGCAAGAAGTTCGAAGCTCAAAAGAACTATCGTAGAGTTGCAGTAAAACTGAACGTTGTCGTCCACGTCACGAAGAGAAAGCAAGAAATTGACTGTGATTTCAAGCTAATTGACTGATTGTAGGAAGAAAAGGTAAAGTATCACAGAATACAAGTTCTGTTGGAGGAAAAGGAAAAATTGCAGGTTCAACACTCCCAATCCCGAACTTAATACCGAATCAGCAATTTGGGTTTCGAAAATGCCTGTCGATTACAATGCAACTAATAGTTAAGGATGGTTGATTTTTTCAGTGCTGCGATTCACAAACACCAAAGTACCGCTTTCGTCAGCAAAGTTCGCCTAAACGACTTGGGCGAAAACTCGAGGGAAAAACAGGCATCCGCGTAGTAGGATTATAAGGCTGACGATTTTCGGTCAGGATTGGAATGCTGTATCCAAACATTAGTAAAACAGAAAAATTACGATAGCAATTTCTCTCTTTTTAGCATTTCTCGATGTCCACGGTGCTTCAAGAAAGATGTAAAACGTTGAAAGTCGACGCATGAAAATCTTTCAGACTGCATTAACCTGATCTGCTCATAAACAGGATAGACACAACGAGAAAAGCATTCGAATAAAAAGTGCTAAACGGCAAGTGAGAAGCAAATAATTAAGAGAATACATTGGTGAAAAAAAGTCCTAGGGGGAAGGGGGGCTCTTTTCATAGCCGGATGAATTTGGAAGGGAGATGAGGATTTCACATTTCTATCTTGTTTTGTTGCTTTCCTGTGAAAGGTCAAAAGTGCACCATGACTTTACGAACACACTGTATAGTTGCTAACAACGAATCATTAATTTTCTTTGTTACGATTTTCATTAAGGACAAGACAGTAAGCTAGAAAATGTTATTGTTGTTGCAGCTAATGCTCAAGCGTCTGACCTATAGTCAGCCCAAGCCCACGAAATTCCTCGTGGCAAGCAGTGCAAGTTTTACGCCTGTCGTTGGCAACAGCCTTTAGCACCTAACAGGTCACAGTGAGATTTAGCTCAGTTACGCCCTGATGGAGAGCACCCACGGGGGCGGAGAAATCCGAGAGTCTTCCACCCCTCTTCCCCTCCCACTAACCTCTCGGGAGGACTTCCGGCTCACTGCGCATTTAGAGTGCCCCATGCCGCACAGACGCTATACATTTACAAACATCTGCCATCTTCGAGATTCGATGCCGGGCCCTTCGGAAGTCAGCGACGCTAACCACTATACCGATTGGGCGCCG